CTCTTGAAAAGGGGGGAATTGATTTGAAGCTGTTTCCTTAGACTTGAAACATGGCTTATACAGTAGAGTTTTATAACTTTACATACAAAGTTGTCACACATTTTAGCAGGACAGTAATGTTCAGTAGATTATGAGTTTTCAAATGATTCCTCACTTTGTACAAAATTTATCCTACTCTTGTAAAAAGGATGAAGATAAGTAAACATTATCGCATACCCTGCTGGGGATCTGTTGTATTTTCTTTGCTATTGTTATTTTGTCCTTCCCCCACCCACATTCCAACTTACCCATGAATACTACAGAGGTGCAGTTGCAGCATTTTAAGTGTTGCTAAGGCCTAGGATGGTCAGAATGATTTGTTTAAACCAAACTTACCTTTTAATATTGACAAAAGCATCAAGAAAAATGAATAAAAATAACTGGAAGGTAAATGGAATGAATGTTTATATATAATACTAGATGATTTACCCACATTTCTTGGGTCCTTAATTCTATTCATTTTGTTTTTAAAAAATAAAATGAAAATGTCCAGGCTTCATTGAGAAGGTTCAGTTTGCAGGCTGCCCCGGGGAGAGAGAGGACTATCCCAGTCCCCTCTTACTGCAGCAGGTTGGAGCCAGGTGAGAAGCACCTCTCCATGGCCTCTGCAGCTCCAGCAGGCACAGCCAGGGGAGGAGTCCGTGTCCCCTGGCTGGGCAGGTCTAAGTTCGTCTGCCCCTCTGCGCTCCCCAGCCCAAGTGAGCAAGCTATGCAGAAAACTGTGCACTTCCCCTTGCTGCCTGACAAAGGGGAACAGTGAGTAACGTCCCCATATGAATTGGGTGTAAGGAGCTTAAGCACCCCCCCCCCCCGCCCCCCCCAGCGGGGGTCTCAGGGCTGGGGCAGTCCTGGACAGGGGGCATGTGTCCCCAGCCAGCTCCTTTTACCACCTGATGATTCTGTCCCTTTTCTGTATGGTTTACATTGAATCATAGAACACTAGGACTGGAAGGGCCTTTGAGAAGTCATCAAGTCCAATCCCCTGCACTCACAGCAGGATAAAGCATCATCAAGATCATCCCTGTTTGATAGATGTCTGTCTAACTTGCTCTTAAATCTCTCGGAGATTCCACAACCTCCCTAGGCAATTTATTCCAGTGCTTAACTATCCTGACAGTTGGGGTATGTCTACACAGTGGCACTATTTCATGATAACATCCGTTATCCTGAAATAACGTTCTGCGCATCTTAACAGCATGCCTGTTATTTCGAACGGCATTTTTATTCCAGCTTCCTGTAAACCTCATTGCATGAGGAATAAGGAAGACACCAGAATAGTGATTTATTTAGAAATAAGTGCTGTATAGACAGCGCCAAATTTCGAAATAAACTATTTCAAAATAAGCTACACAACTTGTGTAGCTCAAATTGTGTAACTTATTTTGAGGTACGAGCTATTGTGAGGACGTACCCTTAGGAAGTTTTTCCTTAGTGTCCAACCTAAACCACCCTTGCTGCCAGTTAAGCCCATTTCTTCTTGTCCTATCATCAGAGGTCAAGGAGAAAAATTTTTCTCCCTCCTCCTTGTAACACCCTTTTAGATGGTGGTTTTCAACTATCTTGTCCCCTCTCAGTCTTCTCTTTTTTAAACTAAACAAGCCCAATTCTTTCGGCCTTCCCTGATGGGTTATTTTTTGTTGCTCTTCTCTGGGCCTTCTCCAATTTCTCCACATTGTTTCTGAAATGTGGTGTCCAAAACTGGACCCAATTATCCAGTTGAGGCCTAATCAATGTAAAGTAAAGGGGAAGAATTACTTCTCGTGTCTTACTCACAACACTCCTATTAATGCATCCCAGAATTATGTTTGCTTTTTTGCAACAGTGTTACATTGTTGACTCATATTTAGCTTGTGGTTCACTATGACCCTAAATAACTTTTTGCAGTACTCCTTGGACAGTCACTTCCCATATTGTATATGTGAAATTGATTGTTCCTCTTTACGTGGAGTACTTTCCATTTGTCCTTATTGAATTTCATCCTACAAGAAGCAATCCCATTCCAGGCATATCGAATATAAGAACGGTCATACTGGATCAGACCAAAGGTCCATCTAGCGCAGAATCCTGTCTTCCAACATTGGCCAATGCCAGGTGCCCCAGAGGGAGTGAACAGAACAGAGAATCATCAAGTGATCTCTCCTGTCACCCATTCCTATCTTCTGACAAACAGAGACTAGGGACACCATTTCTGCCCATCCTGGTTAATAAGTATTGATGGACCTAACCTCCATGAGTTTATCTAGTTCTTTTTGAACCCTGTTAAAGTCTGGGTCTTCACAACATCCTCTGGCAAGGAGTTCCACAGGTTGTGCGCTGTGAGAAGAAAAACGTTTTTGTTTGTTTTAAACCTGCTACCTATTAGTTTCATTTTGTGACCCCTAGTGTTTGTTATGGGAAAAAGTAAATGACTTTTCCTTATTCACTTTTTCCACACCAGTCATGATTTTATAGACCTCTATCATATCCCCCCTTAGTCTCCTTTTCCCTAGCACAACCAAACCCTTACATTGCTTTACATTATAAGAGGAAGCTGTATACTGAATTTGGTGGTCCTAGCTCTTAACATTTAGGAGTTCTTGAACAAACAGGAAAACACCTTCAAATGTATAGTAGATGATACGTTTGAAAGACTTTTCCACTGTGAAAAGTAATTCTAGCATCATAGGAGAACAGCTGTCAAGTCAGGTTAATTTTAAGGCCTTAAGAACCATTAATTAGCTGTGGTGTACATTCTTCTTTGATGTAAACATATATAATGACTGGCAGTGGAATTTTAATTCTGTTCTATTTATGAGAGAATTGTTCTTTGTATTAGTAAGGGATACCACTGACCATTGTGAAATCTAAGTGCTCAGTGGTATGTGAGATGGTGTCATTAAATATTCTCTATGGTGATTCCTGCCTTTCGTCTTCTAAATTTCTAAACTTCCCTGTTTTAAATTGGACAATAGGCATTGATTATACAGTCTCTCTTGAAAGAGCTTGGGTTATAAAGGAAGACCAGCTTTAAAGGCATAAGTGGTAATGAGAGCTTTTTAGAAATTGAGCAGGAGTAATCATCATGAAAAGGAAGACACTGAATATTCTGTGAATATTGCACACAGTTGACATCAGTGGAATACATTCCAGGGGACCCTTTTATGCCAGAATATTTTTCCCAGGCATACCCACAGTCGTCTTTAGTGAAGGCCGTTTATTAAAATGGATACATATTATACAAACCATGCTGACATTAACAAGTTTCTTAGGATGGGTGCTTCTCTCTGATCACCAAAAAAGGGCTTCTACTGAGGGAAACAAGGTTTAAAATGAATTAAGTTAAGATAGGGCCAGAAACAAGCTTTGCTGCTGTGAGTTGCTCTTCTGAGGCCTGGTCTGCACTACTCGGGAAAGTCAAAGTAAGATACACAACAATGTATCCCGTCCACGCAGCAGGAAGTCAACAGGAGCAAATGCTCAGAAGGAATAGGAGTACCAGGGCTGACCGGGGTGCCCTTTCAGTTCAATCCAGCAGGTATATACTACACCTGTTAAATCAAACTCCAGAAGATCAACGTCGCTCTGTAGTGCAGAGGTGCCATGATAGTCATGTTTGTTTACATTGCTTTAAGTAGGGTCTATATCTTCCTTTGCTTTGTACATCACTAAGGACAGGACAAAGCTCCCTAGATAAAATTCCTATTTTCTATCTTATATCTGAGTTTGAAACTATCTACATATATTTGGACTTAAGCTTTCATGGGCAAAGACTCACTTTGTCAGATGCATCTTATGAAGTGGATCTTTGCCCATGAAAGCTTAAGGCCGAATAAATTTGTTCAGTCTTTAAGGTGCCACAAGACTCCTCCTTGTTTTGCAGTTACAGATTAACACAGTTATCCCTGTGATACTTATTTTTGTAAATATAGAAGAGTACTTTTTTCAACCTTAAAGAGTATTTTAAAATTATTAGAGTCATTCAAGACCTTCCAAGTAGCCCATCATTTCCTTCAGGGACTGTGTGTCCTCAGGGGAGTCATATGAAATACCAGGCTAACTGCTTACGATAGCCCACTACCTGTAAACCTGTTTTTCCTGCTCCCTGTTATCACTTTTTGCGGTTTTTTTTTTGAATGATTGGATCTTCTGTGGGTAATTTTTGGAGTATGTCTGCAAAGAGAAGGGTCAGTCCTGAGCAATAGACATTGATTATACAATCTGTCTTGAAAGATCTTGGGTTATAGAGGAAGACCAGTTTTAAAGGCATAAGGGGTAATGAGAGATTTGTAGAAATGTAATCATAATGAAAAGGAAGACACTGAATATTCTGTGAATATTGTGCAGTCAGCCCTTTTTACTTGGGAGCTAGTGTCTGATCCAGCTCCCACTGAAGCAAAAGCAATCACTTACATCCCTAGCTAATGCCGGAAGTAAGTGACTAGTCACTTTGCCCCACCCTGTCCTGTGCTGCCTCTATCAGAGAAAGGCAGCAAGGGGGGAGCAGGATCTGGTACTGGGGGGAGCTGGCTTAAAAGCGGGTTCCCCCCAGCACCATCTCCACAGGGAGAAGGATGAGCGCAGTGGGGAACTGGCGATGCTTCTACCTTTGAAATGCAGCAAGCGCAGGACTCTTGCTCCATTTCAAAAGCAGAAGCGTTGCGGGGAACCTTGGGTGAGCTGGGGACTCAAACAGCCCCCAGCTGGACCCATGCTCCTGGCGGCGCTTTGCTTTTGAAATGGAGCAAGAGTCCTGCGCTTGCTGCATTTCAAAGGCAGAAGCACCGCCAGTTCTATTTGATTAGTTGATTAATCTAAATTTAACATCCTTAGGGTTAGCTGTGTTTAAGTACGTTACGGTGGCACTAGTGATAGACTCCAGACCTCATAACGCTGATGAGCGAGAACACTGTCAATTTGGTTTAAAAAGCACTGCCTGCATACAATTTGGATTAACCTCTTGTGTTTCCTTTTCTTTTATCCAGGCATCCACAATGTTAAGAGCATCTTTAGCCCCTGTGTAAGTCTTTCTTGCTGACTTTGCTTGGTTATCAGTAAAGAGAGTGCATGGGAGGAAACATAAGATAGCCTTATTGGGTCTCTGGGATAGCTGCGGGGAGGTGACCTCCATGCTCCTGAAAAGGGCGGGGCCACAGGCAGAAGGGATGGGGCTGAGGGCAGCTAACCATGAAGTTGGTACAAATTGTATCGACTACACGATTAGTCAGTTACCGGCTTCTTAACATCCTTAGTACATAAGAACAAAACCGATCTAGGGAAAGGAACTTGTGAAGAAATCATCATTTCCTTGCAGTGCTCTGTGAAGAAGCAGTATTGTGCTAGTGCATAAGAATAGAACATGATCAGGTTGCTTTTTTGAAACTAGATTTGCTCTTCTCCATAGCGTTAACAGCCCCCTTAAAGAACTTCGACAGGATTTTAATAGTGTCTGGTTTCCCATCTGCCGTGTAGGAAAATGCAGGAAGTGCCGTTGTTACCCTCTTTGGATTATGAGAAGCTGAAGAAAGATCTGATCAGCGGGAGCGACCGTCTTAAAACTTTCTTACTGCAAGCTCTGCGCTGGGTAAGTAAGATTTGTAAGTCTCACTACAAATGAAGAAGGATCTCGTGCTACTGGCTTAGGACCTTTCTCTAGAGCTGGAGCCAAAATTTAATTTGCAGACAAGATGGTTCACATCTGGAGTAAACTGTCTTCCTTCATCATAGGATGGTGGGAGGGGAGCAGAGAGAAAATGCAGAGGCTTTTCTGCTTGTGTTCCCGTTAATGATGTTTGCTGAGGCTCTGAAGGTGCAGGCCGGGAGAAGAATGCAGGCTTGGTTTGTGATGGTGGCAGTAAGACTCTCTTAACTTCATGCCACAGAAAAGGGGAAGCTGATGGAGAGATTGACAAGGAAAGCTGAGCTGGGCAAAATGACAGGCAAGGAAGATGATCATATAAACCAGGTGGATGGAGTGTAAACTTGGTTTTTTCATCCAATTGTGCACCCATTTTATAATGCTGTCTAGACCATATTTCCCTACTTGGCCTAGAAAACTATCAAGGAATTAGTTTAAAAAAATCAAGTTCTGTTTTTGGTACCTAAAACTTTCTGTAAAAGATAGTGATGTATCGGAAACTCCAAATTGAGTCCAAATTTAACAAAGATTTGCATTTGTGCCAAGCACCGCTAGTCAGATTTTTTTTAATGGTTCCCTTGCTAGCCATACTTTTCATTAATGGTTCTATCTTGCTAATTAATTGAGCCCTACCATGGTTCCCTTTCCTGTCTGCCTTACAGGTCAGTGGTGCCTTTGCAGATGCTAACCAATTCTGAATAACAATTCTGTGGTGGGCCTCTGAGCTGAGAGCGCTAAACTCATTTGCTGTTCGACATCAAAGTTGAATTCGTCCTCTATGTGAGAGGAGGAGTCATTCTCCACAAAGAAGAATTCTTCTAGACACACTCTCATATTAGCATTAATTTGACACCCCTATTTTTGCAGCGTTTGACGACGTCTCATCCTGGTGAGCAGAGAGACACCGTTCTGCAAGCTTATATCAGCAATGACCTACTGGATATTCACAACAGTAGCCAGGTCAGCAAGAGAAGGTCTTACCCTGGTTTGTGTGTGACATTGTTTATTTGTATAACGTGCTGCTCAGAGAACCCTGTGTATTACAGCACTGCAAATGATTGAAAAGATGTCTATGTGATCTGTTGGATTTAGACATACATTTCAGAATACGTTGACCACTAATACAGATTGGCTGTGTCTACACTGGCCATTGACCACTGATACAGATTGGCTGTGTCTACACTGGCCTCCCTTTCGGAAAAGGGATGCTAATGTAGCACTTTGGAATAGGCAAATCCGCGGGGGATTTAAATATCCCCGCGGTATTTGCATTAACATGGCTGCCGCTTTTTTCCGGCTTGGAGATAAGCCGGAGAAAAGCGCCAGTCTAGACGTGATTCTCTGGAAAATAAAGCCTTTTCCGGAGGATCTCTTATTCCTACTTGAAAGCCATTCACTGTCGGGGGAAGGGCTGGTCTGCCTGTGTTTGGAAACTGACCTTTTTCGTCCTAATTGCAGTGTTGGGGGATGACTACTTAGTGGTGTTTCATAAGCCAAAATGTGACATTTGTCATTTATGCAGTAGTAGGGCTCAGTCCTGCTAGGCCACATTCACCTTTGATTCAATGAGAGTCAGAGGTACACTGCACTCACCGGCAATGCAGCTTATAGACCAGGCTCTGAAACAGTTTCTGTAAGTGGTTCTGTGAGGTCAGTTTGCTGAAACATTGTGTGTGTTTCTTCATGGTTAGTGTTGTGCTGTTTATAGCAAGCAGTTGTGTTTCTAGAGTTCTTAATTTGCATGTTAGTGTGTAGCACATGTAGAGACAGGGAAATTCATTAATGCATTGGGGACTTGCCCCTGTGGCAGGTGAAAGTGGTGGCAATTATACCATTCACTTCAGTAGGAGCGGAATCAGACCCTAACATAGGAGATTGGTCCTCACCTGTATAAGGACTCACTCGATAAATCGTTTCTGAGTAAATTACATATTGTAAGAGGATCCACTGAAGTCATTTCTCTGATGACCCAGAGTGAGAAGTAAACTAGGATTTTGATCATAAGATGCTCATACAATACAGGCAGTCCCCGGGTTACATACAAGATAGGGACTGTAGGTTTGTTCTTAAGTTGAATCTGTATGTAAGTCGGAACTGGCGTCCAGATTCAGCCGCTGCTGAAACTGACCATACAGATTCAACTTAAGAACCCCAAGCTTCCCCAAGTCAGCTGCTGCTGAAACTGATGAGCGCTGATTCCAGGAAGCCTGGGGCAGAGCAACTCT